GGCATTGACCATCGAAAATGTCTGAAATCTCTTTTTTTTTGCAAAATGTCTGAAATCTCTTGCTTTTTAATTAAGAATATCAGAAATCTTTTCTTTTGTACAATATGTCAGAATTCTCTTCCTTTTCACAATATGTCAGAAATCTAATCCTTTTTTAACAAAATGGTTTCACATTATACAGAGAATTAGAAAATATCTAATATCACGGCAATGGTCTGGATACAAATCTAATTTAATATTGGATCAACCGAACAGTAAAGTATTTCTTATCCTCCTCTTCTGATAAATCTCTTCAGAATTTAAAAGATGGGTTGCTAGGCAACAAAACATATGCCCACAGCAGTAATGAAAGCTGTCCATGTTATCGTAAATCAATGCAAATCAATACGAGTTTTCGTCTCAAGACCTTAGATCTGACAAATTAAAATGGCTAGACCTCAATTATTTGGAGAAAAACATGAGAGTGTCAATTTAGTCTGATTTACGTTGGTAATCGTCAACAGACATGAAACAAAATTTTAATTGTGTTGATCCTGTTTAAACCCAATTCAACAGTTTACTTTGATCCTAAATCAACAGTTTACTCTGACCCTAAATCAACCCAATTCAACCTTAAATCCAACTGGTCTAGCTCCATTAAGATGAATTATGTAAGAGCTAATTCTACTTTTTGTAGATCCTTTATTCGGTTTCAAATGCTACATAAATTATTATTTAGACATTTATTAAAGATACATTATGGGAGATTAGATAACGAGTTGGCAGTTCTCACTATAATAGTTAAAAACAAAATAATGTAATTAATTTGCTGAAAATTTCAGTCAAATTGATCCACTATGAACCGAGAAATAAGCGATCGAAAGTTCCACATAGCCTCGGTCATCATAACTAAAGTCGGTAAGACAAAAATTATAATCTCGATTATCCATTTAATCGTTAAATCGAGAAGGAAAGTTATGGAGCAGATCGGAGCATAATCCACTATAGATCGCAGAATAGCGTTGCCATCGAGAGTTGATTACGGTCTGGATACGTTAATTAATGTCTAATTAATAAGTTTGATAACATTTCAGGCCTAAAGAAAGACCTACAAGAGGCAGATTTAGCTCTTGCATAATGTATGTTTAAAATGGCAAGCCCATTATCAATTCTCTAGGTCATCGGATGGTCGCAATTTTCGTTAGATTAGAACACTGCAACCATTTATGACTTTAATGACAAAATAGATAACCAAGACTTAGTCACCATTACTACGATAATAAAAAATCGATGCTGCATGTTGTCAGAACTTCAAATACTCATAACTTCACACAGAATAAAGTAATTTGACCGAAATGTTCAACATATTCCTTTCTCATTTTGAACTATTATAGCAAGAATGGTCAGATCTGTATATAATTCTCACATAATGCATTTTTAATTACTGAAGAAAAAGTAAAATCTGGATTGATGACTCATTATTTAAATGTTTCATGTCTTCCCCTCCTCCTCCCACCTCCTATATATTAAATTTGAAGCCTATCCTCCGAACTACATATGTCTCTATTTACAATTAATAACATCTTTATGAGACTTTCAACAAGGTTTAATTATATACCTGTTACCTAATATAATACACCTGGACTATTTCATCAAACATGTGCAACTAATTAATTGTCAGTTATCTGTAACTCATAGTCAATTATTGACGTTCAAAATAGCTGGTTCACTTATTGGCTGTTAAAAAATGATTTCATTTGTACCCGATCGACTAATGACCTATTAGTACCTGAATAATGACCTATTAGTACCTGACTAATGACCTATTAGTACCAGACTAATGATCTATTAGTACCAGACTAATGATCTATTAGTATGTGACTAATGACCTATTAGTACCTGACTAATGACCTATTAGTACCTGACTAATGACCTATTAGTACCTGACTAATGACCTATTAGTACCTGACTAATGACCTATTAGTACCGTATCTGACATTTTAAACTTTGTAAATGAAATGAAATGGGGTTTAACGTCCTACTGTTCTGCTTCTATACTGGGCTAATGAAGACGGGCATACGCCTTACTGTGTCCCATGAGGGAAATTTTGCCCCCAGCAGCGGCACCATCGCCTACTCTTATATCGAATTCCAACTGCCAAGGGATCTTTTACGTGCATTCCAATGTATACACGGGACCTCGGTTTTTCGTCTCATCCGAAGGAATAGACAGCTGTCCTTGTCACGCCCTCCGTTCTGCACCACTGACAAGGGGAAACCACGTCGGAAAATCAGGATGAACCTTCTTGGCCAATTTTAAACTTTGTGAATAATAAAAACATACATAACAAAACACAACACAGGGTATATATGGATATAACTACCTCTCTATTACAATGTATTTAACGTTTCGTGGGGGGTTGGATGGCTGAATGGTTAGCGTGTGCGCGCTGTATCATAAAGTCTGTCATTGAGTCGACTGGCGTGGTATCGAATCCCCGGTTGTACGTGACAAGGAGTGGGGTCGCCTGTCCAACCTCGTGGGTTTTCTCCGGGTCCTCTGGTTTCTTCCCACTGCTAAAGACTACTACGCGCAAGCGAATTATTGAAATAAAATCAAACCATATGTTAGTCCCGAAATGACCTAGCTTGACCTAGTTTCTCTCTCACTTTAACGTTTCGTAACACATACAGGTCACGTTTTCAAGTTAATGATAAATATCCATCTAGTCATACTATTTATACATATTTTGGCTTACACCAGGCTAATTAATGATAAGAAGAAACCATTAAAATAATTAAAAGTAACCATAATGAAATAATAAGACAAATAAAAATAAATAATTGACTCTTAGTAGTAATAATAAAAGATGATCAGATATTATCAATTAGTTTGGTGTAAGCCAAAATATGTATAAATAGACTGACTTGGTGGAAGTGGACGTAAAACTCCAAGAACGGATATTTATCATGAAGACAGGCATACACTACATGTATATAATGTGCTATGCGGAGAATTCTGCCCAGACAGCAGTGTTATGGCCTACTCTTATATCGGATTACAAATGCCAAGGTTTCTTTTAGAGAGAGAGAGAGAGAGAGAGAAATGGGGTTTAACATCCACTCGACACAAACTAGGTCATTTCAAGACTAACATATGATTCAGTTTTATTTCCATATTTCACTTCGTGTAGGGGTTTTTAGCAGTAGGAGGAAACCGGACGATCCGGAGAAGACCCAAAAGGATGGACAGGCAACCATACTCCTTGTCACGTACAACCGGGGAATCGAAACCACGCCAGTTGACTAAATGACAGACTTTATGATGCAGCTCGACCGTGCTAACCATTCGGCCATCCACCCCCCAGGGTTCTTTTAAATACACGCCAATCTATACGCAAATGTGGAACCTGGGTTTTTCATTCCATCCAAGCAACAGTACTTTATCGGCAAACAACAGGATCAAATAGGAGACCTCCGAGTTAGCAAGCCAACATCCGTGGCTCCCACAAATATCATTAATGCACAGAGATAAAGACCAATTATCTCTGGCTGACACTAGTGAGATAATATGGGCAATTCTCCATTAAAAATATAGAATGATATTAAAATAAAAGCAGACCTATATGTCATTTACGGTTGACCATCTTATAGGAATAATATATTATAAGAATATCAATGTAACGTTGGTATATTATACTGATGTAACGTTGGTATATTATACTGATGTAATGTTGGTATATTATACTGGTATCAATGTAATGTTGATATATTTATTATAAGAATATCAATGTAATATGTTATATTATAAGAATATCAATGTAATCTTGATATATTATACTGATACCAATGAAATATTATACCAATATCAAAGTTATTTATATATTGATGTACTATTGCTATATTATAAGAATATCAATGTAATGTTCATATATTATACTAATATCAATGCAATGTTGCTATAATATACTGATATCAAAGTTATGTTGCTATAAGAATATCGATGTAATAATAAAGTAACAATCAAACGTTGTTATTGCTGTATGTATTAAAATGATTAACAATGTTTGCAATATAATATAATGTCTCTTCAACTAGTTAATAAAAAGTTGACATGTTTGTCATGGTAAACAATGTTTGATATATGATATGCAATTTGTCAAGTATAAAATATGCTATTACTAATAGTTCATATTCATCGAAAGGTTACATAATTTGTGGCAATATCAATTTTATTACATAGTTGAGCCATAAAAGTTAATAATAATAAAACTTTATATATAATTATGATAAAATATGCAGACAAGAATTCAAATGGCAGTTTTACAGTCTACAAATTTGATGATCGATTTGGACATTTCTATTAACACCTTTCAATGAAATATGGATTTCTTTGCATACGTTAGCATGAAGGTGGACCTTTTCCCAGTGACTCAAATTAACTTTAGTGTGAAGAGTTCCACAGCTAGCATGCCAAGTTAGTGTATAGTAATTTAACCTTTGCAATTTCTTGAATTTTATCATGGCCTGGAGAGAGAGAGAGAGAGAGAGAGAGAGAGAGAGAGAGAGAGAAATGGGATTTAATGTCCACTTGACACGAACTAGGTCATTTTGGGACTAACATATGGTTCAAATTTATTTCAATAATTCGCTTGTGCACAGGGGTCTTTAGTAGTGGGAGGAAACCGGAGGACCCGGAGAAATCCCATGTGGTTGGACAGGCGACCCTACTCCTTGTCAAGTACAACCAGGGAATCGAAACCACGCCAGTTGACTCAAAAAATGAAATGAAATGAAATGGGGTTTAACATCCTACTGTTCTGCTCCTATGCTGGGCCATACAGTGTGCTATGAGGGAAATTTTGCCCAGGCAGCGGCACTATCGCCTACTCTTCAGTTGATTCAATGACAGACCTTATGCTACAACACGCCATGCTAAACTTCGGAATGGTTGCGAGTATGGTATGGTTAGCGCTGCCCAGGCTAAATGCAGCTTTTGACACATGATAATAAAGACTTACCTGTAAGGCGGCACTGTTTATTTTGGCCGTTTTTAAATCGGTCCGTGTATTATCCAACTCAGACTTTAATTTAGAGGCAGCATCTTTTAGATTAGTGATATGTGTGGACGCTGTACCCAAACCATGCTGGCTATTCTCTACAGAATTCTCTAATCTCTTCACCTAAATTATACGAGACAAACAGGAAGTGAAATAATGTTTTATGGTTTCCCAGCACCTCTACAGGGCTATACAGAGTCAAATATATGCTTGGGGGGTGGAGGTGGGTGGATGGCCAAATGGTAATGTGCGCATTGTATCATAAGGTCTGCTAAAGACCCATACGCACAAGCTAATTATTGAAATAAAATTGAACCATGTTAGTCCCAACATGACCTAGTTTGTGTCGAGTGGACGTTAAAACCCATTTCTCTCTCTCTTTCCAATATATGCTGATGATCCATGTCAGACAAAAATATCAAAGAAAATAGCTGTAACAAGACGACCAAATGGGATTTAACGTCCACTCTACATAAACTAGGTCATTTTGGGGACTGTGGTTCAGTTTTATTTCAATAATTTGCTTGCATGTACAGTTCTGCAAATAGTTGGAGGAAACCGGAGGGCCCAGAGAAAACCCACAAGGTTATTGAGGCAACCCTACTACTCCTAGTCACAAACAAGTGGTAAATCGAAACCCCACTACTTGACAGTGCACTCGTTAAACCATTTGACCACCCAGTGATCAGAATCATTGATTAATTAATTGCCAGAGATTACTCAAATAACATTGTCAGCCATAATATGACAGGGTTGTTCTTGTCAATAAAAGGTTTTTCATCATCCTTCAATGAAACAATGTTTGTTTAACAGTTCAAACATGTAATTTACAAATATAAATAAATTTCTCAATGAGTGATGAATATTTTATCCTATTACCATGATTGATAAGGTTCTATTGCTTGCAGCTCACTACAACTCTGGTATCGCATAATTTTGCTTTTGGCAAATTATTAAAATTCATTGAGAATATTGGGTTTCTACTGTCGCTCAATTCAAAATGGTCCATCTAGATTAGATGTTGAGTTGAGTATCGGGTTTACTACTTTTTAGTTTGACTAGCGGTGTTGAGTAATTAATTAGTCTGTTAATTTAACAATTCACCAACAAGGGTTTGAAACTAAACGTTAAATACAGAAACAACATAACTAGATGATAGCGCTTATCTGTCAAATTGTGAAAAACATTCTTAAAGGCTCAATAACACTCTTGTTGTAACAGAATAATATGTCCCAATCTTTATTCTGGTCAACAAATTGTACTATTTTACAATATTCCAATTAATTGATAATACAAATTTCATCTTAACACACCTAATTTAAAAAATTGGAAAAATTCAACTAAATGATTTGAAAAGCCTAACGTAAACCTTTTCAAATGTGACTTGGTTTTAAAAATATTTTCGAACCCTCTGGACAAGTAAAATAGGATTTAATGGATAATTTACACAACAGGTAGGACACTTAAACATCTAATACTTAGAATAAGGCTACTATTTATTTATTGGAGCTGTCTAGCTAGCAAAAGATGTTATTGTCCCTTTAAGATAGGATTACGACTATAAAATGAACTGAAATAGGGAACATTTCTGCACCGACAGGGCTAATGATATGACGGAAATTTTACCCCATCAGCAGCATTCCCGCCAAATTTTCTTAAATTTCCAACAGTCAAGTTTGATTTCCGTGCACGCCTATCTACAGATGACACACTTGGTTTTATCCCTTTTTTAACAACAATAATCTTTGCCATGAGAAACATGTGATTACTCACAAGCATGATAAACTCACACAAACTTGTGTGAGTAACTTTAAACAAAACATGAAGAAGTTACCTCATCTTCGGCTGTTTTTAATTTTATAAACAATTCTGATTTGACTCGTTCAAACTCATTTAAAATAGTTTCTTTTTCTCCAGTCAATCTCTTTGTTTCTTCATTTAGGCGATTTTCTCCCTCCTGTTAAAATAAAATAAAACGGTAAATAAGTTCCCAGCATGCCAGAGTAAAGAAGAATCTAAGTTTAAGAATCTTTTTATGAAAAAAAAAAATTATAATCCCAAAATTATTCAAATTGATCAATTCTACCTTGAGATCTGGCCGTTTGAAGTCAACATTGATTTCATAACATCTGATTGTGCTGTTAACACTGGTTTTGTCTGCTCTGCACGGCCCAGTATTTTTCTAGTAAGATTGGGTGTCTATATACTTTTGCATATGTACGAAATCTGCCATACATTTATACGTAATAACCACCTGTTATACGTTTGTGGGAATGCATCTTTAACAGACAGATGGATAGTAATGGCCAGAGAATCGCACATTCCATGTAAAACAAACCTACAGACAAGGCAAACTTTTCAGACATTGAGTGACAGGATCTGGGGGCCAGCCGTAAGTGACCACTGCACTGTAGGGTCCTAAGCCTCAATCAAAATGAAAAAAAAAAAACCCCTGATTTACATGAAAGACTTAATGCGACCGGTCTTGATGGAGAGAGAGAAATGGGGTTTAACGTTCACTCGACACAAACTAGGTCATTTCGGGACTAACATATGGTTCAATTTTATTTCTATAATTCGCGTGCGCGCAGGGGTCTTTAGCAGTGGGAGAAATCGGAGGACCCGGAGAAAACCCACGAGGTTGGACAGGCGACCCTACTCCTTGTCACGTACAACCAGGGATTCGAAACCACGCCAGTTGACTCGATGACAGACTTAATGATACAGCCCGCACGTGCTAACCACTAAGCCCCCCCCTCCCCCTGGTCTTGATGGTATCATAAAGTCTGTCATTGAGTCACTGACGTGGTTTTGATTCCCCGGTTGTACGTGACAAGGAGTAGGGTCGCCTGTCCAACCTCATGCGTTTTCTCTGGATCCTCCAGTTTCCTCCCACTGTTACCTGCTACATATACAGAACCTGTATGTTAGTCTCAAAATGACCTAGTTTGTGTTGAGTGGATGTTAAATTCACTCTCTCTCTCTCTCTCTTTTGTCAGTTGACCTCATGAGTGAGTGAGAATGTCAAAATATTTCACAATAATAAGGTCATCATTACCTGTTTTATTTCTGAAAGTTTCTCGGCAAATTCTTTTCTTTCTCTACTGAGTTTATCTTCTAGTGATGTTCGTAATTCTTTCAACATGGCTTCTTGTCTCTCTTCCTGTTCGCTTTCACGGTTACTATGACGTTCCTTCAATCCCTGTATTTCCCGTTCGTATCGTTGTTGCATCGTCTGCTTCTCGATATTCAAATCATCAAGAGACTAATATAAAAAACAATTTACGAGTTTTAAGGCAGAGAGAAAGAGTACAACCGCATTACAAAATTGTGGATTTATACAAAAAACATTATACAAGTTTTAAGGCAGAGAAAAATCTAAATTTTGGAGTTACTCAATATTGAATGTATGACAGATGTGAAAAGGAGTGTACGGTAACTGAATTACAAAATTGTGTAGTAATATTTGAATATGGTGGCTATTAAGGGCAGAGATTTATTCTCTAAAGTAGATAGTTCTCTGTCTACAGAATGAAAGGGAGACAATCCTGATAATTGGTGGAGATGGTTGACATCGAAAATATGTCGTCAATTTGAATAACTATGGTTATGGTGGAAAATCTGGGATAATTTACTTTTCATTGCCTCAAATGTGTCATATTTGTATGATCTCGTCATGGTTTTAACGTATATTCTTATTTTGCGTGGTTTATCAAAAATTGAAATAAACAAAAAATAAAGTATAAAGACTTTTCAAAATTGACAAGTTTTTTCTATTAAACAAAACCAAATGAAACCACACAATTTTCCTTTTATTTGATGTAAGCTTATTTCAATAAATCTAGTATCGGATGAAAATTTATCAAAGATAAGCGATTTTCTTAATATTATTACTTCTCATCTATAGTATGCTGCCGTAACCTTGATTTCGTATCATTCTAAACTAATACATAGGGTGGGTGAATTATTATTATACCTTTATAAAGCACACAATGCCACATGCTAATGTGCGCTTTGCTTTATAAAGACATATTATAGAGCTAGACATTATTACATTGATATAATAACATGAGAGGGAGAGAGAGAGAGAGGGAGAGAGAGAGAGAGAGAGAGAGAGAGAGAGAGAGAGAGGGTTTAACGTCCACCCAACACAAACTAGGCCATTTCGGGACTAACATATGGTTTAATTTTATTTCAATGATTCGCTTGTGCGTAGGGGTCTTTAGCAGTGGGAGGAAACCGGAGGACCTGGAGAAAACCCACGAGGTTGGACAGGCGACCCTACTCTTTGTCACGTACAACCGGGGAATAGAAACCCCGCCTGTTGTCTCAATGACAGACCGTATGATACAGCGCAGCGCGCACGTGCTAACCATTCGGCCATCCAACTCCCCTGAGATAACCAAGAACATACTTGATAAAATATAGAGATAAAAATTGTTATATAGATAAAATGACATTTAATTAAAATATAAACTAGCTCTTGATAATTTCCTATTAATAGGATCACTGGGTAAAAGTCACTGATAGCAACTTCTGACGTCCAAATATAAGGTAAGGGAGATAACTCCATTTTTGACAATGTGTAATCAATATAAAACTTCAAGCTACCAAAACTTCAAGCTAAATATATTTTTAGGACGAGCAATCTGTTAATTCTCACTGTATCACCGTGGCTTCCAGATTCTAAGAAAGTCTTCAGTGCAACGGTATTTAAATCGTACCAGAAATCTATCAAATTTATGGAATAATTGTACCAAGTATCGTGATTCGTACCTTTGGTTTCTATACACAATGTATTTTGGGATGGTCAATCCCAATGGACACTTACTGCCCCTTTTTATGCATAACAGATAATTTTCAAATTATTTCTTATCGATTAGTAATGACAGTGTATGCATTAATGAAATTTATAATGATTTTATGTTGATTACGGTATTTACATGACTTATTTATACTTTAGTTACTTATTTTGTTTTTATACTTAATTTCTGTATCATATTTTGTATAGTCCACGTCAGTCGTTGAAGTTGCACTCTTTAATAATGTACAATAATAATAATATTTCCTGAAGCTGACAATGACTTCTGGTGACCTAATTCTGGCCTCTATTAACTCCACTAAAATGTACGACTATATCCCTAAATCCCAATACACAAATAAAACGATCTGTCTCGACTTGATTGAATCCTACCTGTTGTAATGATTTAAGTTGATGTATTTGTTGATGTGACAAGTTTTCTTGTTGACTAAAATAATTCTTCTTCTCCGATTCTAAATTCTCTATTTTATTGGTTAATTCTGTGATGTTTTTATTCAGTTGTTCGATTAACTCCCCTTGTTTTAAGGAACTGGCCTCTAAGTCTTGTACTAAACCTAAAAAAATTATAACAATAAGCATTACCCTTGATCTATCATCATAGAAAAAAGATATTATAGTATCAAGAAAGTAGATGGCTTAAACGGCAAGTGCAGGGCGACTGCAGTACACACAAACAAAAAAAACAAACCTGCTGACAAGATAAAAACTACACTGATGTTGTAACAAATATCTGATCAAGTGAATGCATCAGGGGCTAGCTAGTCGTATGCGTGCAGTGTGCTGTACAGTCCCGGGCCTGTCATGTTACAGGGGCTAGCTAGTCGTACGCGTGCAGTGTGCTGTTACATCCCTGGGCCTGTCATGATACAGGGGCTAGTCGTACGCATCCAGAATGCTGTTACGTCCTGGGCTTGTCATGATACAGGGGCAAGTCGTACACATCCAGAATGCTGTTACGCCCCAGGCCTGTCATGATACAGGGGCAAGTCGTACGCATCCAGAATGCTGTTACGTCCCGGGATTGTCATGATATAGGGGCAAGTCGTACGCATCCAGAATGCTGTTACGTCCCGGGCTTGTCATGATATAGGGGCAAGTCGTACAGGGGCAAGTCGTTACATCCCTGGGCCTGTCATGATACAGGGGAAAGTCGTACGCATCCAGAATGCTGTTACGTCCCGGGCTTGTCATGATATAGGCTTCAGTCAAAATAAAAATAATATCAAATACATGTATACATACCGGATTTCTGGCTTAATTCTGTGCTTTGTTGAGAATATTTTTCATTCAAGGAAGACAACTCTATTTGTTTATCTTGCAGTTGGTTTAATGATGTTGCTAATTCTTCTTCTAAATCTTTTAACTGAAGCAAGAAACATTTTATCATTCAAATTCTCTCATCCAGATCGTAATTGTTTGGTCGATGTGGTTCCCAGATAATCTGTGTCACTTGAAAGTGGTAGCACGACCAGTTTTTATTTTACAAAAAATTATGGCCTACACTTACGAACATTGGTTTTCATCCCATCCAAACAGCTTGGCAGCAATTTAGTTGTCAGTCCCATAGGCTCTAACTGTGACAAGTCGGAATGGGCTTAAAAAAACCCAGACGTTCTTTGGACTTGAAACCCAGACGTTCTAATCGAGGATTAAGTTCCCTTAAAGCTCGACTATCGCGCCCCCTAAAAGAGCGGAGAAATAAATGAAAATATAGGTTTAACGTCCTACTGTTCTGCTCCTAATGGGATAATGACGATAGGCATACGCCATACAGTGTGCTATGAGGGACAATTTTGCCCGGATAAAGGCGAAGCGGCCTGTTTGGTTTTTTTTTAATTCCCATCTGAATGATAAGCTGTCCCCTTGCCAGACCCTCTGTCCTGCATCACCGACAATGGGGAACCACACCAGAAAATCCTGATGAACTTTCTTGGTCAACACAGATATTGAACACGGGAAAAGACTACCAATGGAAGGAACAGCACAATATATTAATAAACCTACCTTTTGTACCAGATTTTGTGAATTACTATCAGTATCTTGTAACAAGCTTTCTAATTGGCTAATTCTATTCCCATGTTTCTCTACACATTCTTCGCTATCAGCTAATTGGTGAATCAAACTGTCAATTTGTTTTTTAAGTTCCGCCTCTTGAGATGAGAAGTCTTTACGTAATTTTTCTTGTTGATCTTTTAAAGTTTGTACGAGACTATCCTGTGATGCGGATTGTTCTCGTTTTATCACTTCCAGCTCATTTTCATAAAATGCTTGAGCTTTTTGTAACTTCTGTTCATAATCTTCTTCAGATTTATTTTTCTCTACTTGCAAAAGTTCATATTTTTCACTTAACGAGTCAATTTCTTCGCTATGCTTCTCCTTGAGCCGCGACACTTCGTGTACCATTTGCTCGTTTTGTGAACCCTGGAAGTTACGAACAGAATCTAATTCTACTTCATGATTCTTTTTAAGTTCATCAATAGCTCGCTGTTTCTCCGATTCGAAACGTTTTTGAAATTCTACAAATTTTTCAACATTTTCAGCGAACTCTCTTTTAGCTATTAAAACATCTTGTGATATTTCTAACATTTTTTCTGCGTGACTTTTCTTGACGTTACATAATTCCTCTTCCGCTTTCCGTTTGAAGTTTTCGAACTCTCCCAACGCCCGTTCCTGTCGCTGTTGATGCTGTACAATACATGCCTCCAGAGACTCGATACGTTTCTTACCATCCACTTCCGACACAACTTTACTTTGATAAATTGCGATTTTTTTCTTTGTGTCTGCCAATAATTGTTGTAATTCTTCTTCGTGTGTGTCTTTAAGACTTTGAACAATGGCTTCATGTTCATCGTTCTTTGTGTTAAGAGCGTAAATGACCTGTAAAATAAATAAAAAAAAATCTAATTAAAATGAAATTTAGGGTTTGTAAAACATCCTAATGTTCTGCTCCGACTGGCCAATGAGGGGAAATTTGTCTGGACAACGGCACTACTACTCTTATATTGAATTCCAAATGCTAAGGCTTTTTTTGGGTGCACGTCAATGTGCATGTGGGACCACTGATTGTTGCTTGCCAGCGTTCTATGTCCTGCACTACTGACAAGGGGGAACCCCGCTGGAAAGTCCTGACAAACTTTTTCGGTCAACACATGGATTGAACACGGGACCTCCTGATTAGCGAGCCAACACCTCACTAACTGAGCCACTGTGACTACAGTAATTAAAATGTGTCGGCCATGAAACTTGAAACATTAATCATAACAGACACGTCTGTTATTATTAGAGACATCCCTGCTGGTGAATAAAAAAACAATTTTGATTTGCAGGGATTTAACTATGGAATGAACATTGAGATTGTTCAAAATAGACTGAATATAAAATTTGAAATGGCTATGAAATGAAATGGGGTTCAATGTTCTACATTTGTTCACCAACTGGGCTTAAGAAGACGTTCATTATAAATGTAGGCTACATCATAAATTGTTCGCATTTTTAAAACTAAAATATACATGTAACCCTTTATAAAACTTATGTTGTTTTAATGTATCAAATACATAAATAAGAAACCATATGCAACGTTTTGTGTTTCTGGATCAAAGATATTTCTCATAAACAGTGATTGAAAGTTGAGTAAATTCTTAACTTAAGTCTGAGAACGCTTTGAGAAACAGGGGCCTGGTCTTTTCCAACTAAGATTTAAAATGTATTCCCACTCTTACAGATTGTACAGCAACAACAACATAGCAGGCAATCAACAGTGTCAAACAGAGAGCCAAAGTCTAACATAAAAGATTGATAAAACATGTGCCTGACATGTTCCGAACAATCTGATTAAAACACAGATCCTATTTCGTTTTGTTTTTTACAGTTCAAAATTTCGTTGTTATATAACAGGCGTTCTAGTTGATGTGAGGAATTAGCCTATGAAATGGCATGTTTCGGCGAGTTCTTGGCGTGTTCTGCACGCAACTGTGGGTAAACCCCTAGAAAAGTCAACACTGATTGATTAAAATCAATGTCTGACGTCATAATAGGATCAAAAGTGGTTCGTATGACTTCTGACGCAACCTCCCAGTAGGCCTACAACCGGTCAGATCTTTAGTGTAACGATTTAGCTAATTTGCAGGAGTCTTTAATGACTCCTCGAAGGAAAGCCGACGTGCGTCGAGAGGAGCAGGAGCGAAAGCTCCTCTTAAACGTGAAGGACTGCGCTGCCTAATAGGCTTAGAATAATAGTAGGACTATAGACGTGATGTGCCGTCTCCACTTCATTACGGACTGGCTTGATAGGCAAGACGACATTTCAGTCCCAGTGGCCTCTGGGGAGGGCTATAAATAGACCATCACCAGCTTCATACAGGCTAGAATGTTTACAGACTTATCAAAGTAAGTTCTTAAATTCTTAATCGTCTGACCTGAGTGACAGAGTCAGTAATGCTGTGTTGTAAATTGTATTGCCCAGTGGTAGTGACACTTGAGACGTTACCTTTGTTAACTGTGCTATCTTTTTAGACATTTTAAGATGAAGATCTTGTGATACTTCCATGTCTTTACCAGAACTCTGGGGAAGCGTTCCTCCCCCATATTTCTGACTCTGAAAATAGTTAAACGACATTTTGGTCGCCATTTTTCACTGATAAAATTTCACATGAATTTGTTCTCTAACAAGGTCATACGTGTAATCCTTCGTCTGGCTGGTTCTAATCCGATTTAAGAAGCCTCATTTTTTAGTAATTAAAATAAATCACAAATTAAAACGCCTAATCCATTAATTGGCAACTTTTTTGTTGATAAAAGTTGTGATAACGGTAAAGACCGGAAGTTGATATTGGTTGCTAGCAGTAACGCGTCTTTAACGCTGAAGAGTTCTAACTACCGCATTAAATGATCGAATAACAGTTGGCCTACCCATAATTATATCGTGATTTCAAACGTTTAGCTGTCATATGCAATGAAACAGATGTGTGAACAGCCTTAGCTTATCGGCTCCTTTAGAAATTTCAAGCAATATGAAAACTCGTTCAAAGGGCCATAATAACTACAACAATTTGATTGATACTCATCATAGTCATTGATAGTCATTAGTACTAGTAGTAGTAGTGATATGCCTAATGATATGGTCTCAGACTAGAAACAAATCTAAACGTTAAACCCTCTTCAAAATTATGATGAGGATAGTGCCAACTGTCATCCCCCGTGTGCCTATGAATAAAGAATGGAACCAACGGAATGTTGAGTCCTCATTTCATGTAATTTTCAATGACGTCTATAACTAGACCGCGCGCAGACGCAAAACTAATGAAAAACAGACTCTGACTTCCGGTGGTGGGTGAACGGTCAACAAAATAAATGACGTCTGATAATCACTTCGACGTTAAATAAAGCTATTTCACACACACTTCGATTGACGTTAAGAATGGTCAAGTTTTGCTGTGCCGTTGGATGTTCTAATCAACATCGAACTGGATCTGGATTGACCTTTCATCGGTAAGATCAACTAACAGTAACAAACGGAATTATCTGTCAAACATCTGCTTGATAATTATATAAAAAAATAGGCAGTGGATATTTAACCGTATACGGCACTTTACTTTTGTAAGTTGTTTGGGGTCTTATTAAAGACATTATTAATGTTCAAACAGGTTATTTATTAATTAAAATATAATTCAGTGACTATTTAGTCAGCCATCATTGTTTACAACTCTATTATCATACGGACACAGATCACTAAAGATTGCCCCATTGACTCCAATGTTAATTCTCGTATCTTAGACCGGCTCTAACTTTTTCCCAAATTTTCGTTGGGTAGAACGCTTTCTACCACAGATGGAGCAACATGTGGCAACCACTTGCCCAAAAGCACGTATGAGGTTCTTCATGAAAAACTTGAGATACACAAGCTGGAAGTAGAGACAAGTAAACATGCAATTTCAGGCCCTACATTTCAACGTAACCAACCTCTCAACTCTTGTATCCTTCCGCATCAAAATTATGAATATTCACCAAAACCTGGCAGAAAATGTATTTTCAAACCCTTTTCCTCAATTCTACACCAAAAAGTCAACAAAAATCGCCATGCAAAAGGGGGAAAAAGGAAAAGGGAGAGGAAGACTAAAAATAGCTTTGGCCCTTGTTTCGTGGGTGACGGCGTAGGAATATTTGGTGATCTGTGTCCTATATAGGGGTGAAACTTCAGGTATCACCAAAAGGCCTTTTTTATTTCCTTCCCATGTGTTCTGGCAACATGCCGGTGAAAGAAAATCAAAATCAAAGAATAACTGTAAAAATGATGGCCCTTTAAGTACACATGCTGCTTTATGTACACTGGTGCATCTCAGGTCCATAGGCCTTTTGTGCTAAAATTTAAAAATCTTTCTTATTAAAGGCAGTATCTGAGTTCTGTGAAAAAATTAGACAAGTTACAAAGAAACTACATAGAAAACACTCATAATTTGGAATTTTTTTCAAAAATATAATTTTTTACTGCCATGTGATGAAAAATGTACAAAATTTACATGTAGCATCTCTCAAAATACCAATAATTTTCCACTTTTTTAAATATCCGGACGGACAAGAAATATATTTTTAGAATCTGTGGACAATATGCAAACAGAAAAAATGCAAACCAGTTGCAATGATTGTAATATTAGAGATCTATACTGAAACATGTATGCCTACCCCCTGAACATGCCACTGATTGAATTAATCTAATCTATGGTTGCAGAACTTACATTACCAAAGGAATCTGTCTAACAGCTATGTTTTACCATCCCTGGCTAACATATGCACATATAAACTAAAATAGGTGCAATAAATATGAATTATGGTTAAAAATAGGCCTTGATGAATGAAAAAAATGCCATATTTGGTCTATGATCACCCCTCTCTAACAGAAGGGTCACAGAATACACAATTTTCACAAATTTGGGAATATTTCAATGTTTCCAACATCTCAAACCTCAGAGGCATGTTACAAATTTGTATTGCAATCCTTGTGCTGAAGCAAGATGTCTGGAACTTTACATTAATTTCCTGAAAAAATGAAGTCAAAAAAGTAGCCATGACAGACTTGACAACATAAAAAGAGGCCTGAAAAGGAGAAAAATTAACATTTTATTGTTTTATAGGCAACATAAATGCAGCAAACACCACAAATGCTGGATTTTGATAAGAAAATATTGAACATTAAACTGACATTTACACATCTACACCAGTTTTATATCTGGGTCTGGTCTCATTGGCCTGAAATGCCTCAGGGTTCTACGTTTGACTCTGAACAAATAAGGGTTAGAAATCCTTGAAATGCACAAAAAAAATATTTTTGGGTGAAAAATAACATTCTTAGCTGTAATTCAACCACAAAGTCCAATTAAGATCATTTTCATGTCAATACAGGTGCATTTAAATCCCTCAAAACACATTAATAGAAAAGGGTGGGGTGGGGCATTTATTGCCTCTCTAAACAGAATGATGGAGTAAAAAATGTCTAGAAAGGCTGGGATATTGCTTCCTACATGAAGGAAATGCAAGAATTTAATGTTTCAAAGGAGAAAAAAATGCTTATTCTGGGTAAAATAGTGGCAAAATTGAGCCAACCCCTGTTTTGAACATTTTGTACAAACCCATCTGCTGTACATTATTAACTCAGTGTTACCAATTTTAAATTTTCTGTAGGAAAGCTGGAGCTATTTCTAAACCTGACAAACATGTAGATCCCATCTAAGTTATATTAGCAAAGAAAATATGGGCATTTTTAGACATTTTGACTCATTTTAGTAGTCATGAAAATATTAATTTCTACATCCAAATGGGGGGAATCTCAAGATTTTTTGTGAATATTCCTGATTTTTAGACAAAATTTGGTGAAATTTCAATACTGTTCACTTTATCTGTGCTTTCTGAGACTGAATAAGCCAACATTGGGCATTAGAATATTTTACTTACTGTTAAAAATTCAATAAAAATTGAAAATTGAGAAATTTGCAGTAAAATTACAATTTTTCTTCAAAACTTTTATTTTTTTTTTTTTCATTAACTTTTTTTAGTTTTTCTGTAGCCAAACTATTTTATTCATATTTTCTGAGAATTTAATCTTCATATTTTCAAAACTAAGGCATATCAGTGACAGCCTTATCACACACAGACAGGACACAGATCACTAAAGATTGCCCCATTGACTCCAATGTTAATTCTCGTATCTTAGACCGGCTCTAACTTTTTCCCAAATTTTCGTTGGGTAGAACGCTTTCTACCACAGATGGAGCAACATGTGGCAACCACTTGCCCAAAAGCACGTATGAGGTTCTTCATGAAAAACTTGAGATACACAAGCTGGAAGTAGAGACAAGTAAACATGCAATTTCAGGCCCTACATTTCAACGTAACCAACCTCTCAACTCTTGTATCCTTCCGCATCAAAATTATGAATATTCACCAAAACCTGGCAGAAAATGTATTTTCAAACCCTTTTCCTCAATTCTACACCAAAAAGTCAACAAAAATCGCCATGCAAAAGGGGGAAAAAGGAAAAGGGAGAGGAAGACTAAAAATAGCTTTGGCCCTTGTTTCGTGGGTGACGGCGTAGGAATATTTGGTGATCTGTGTCCATACTACAGCGCTACCTGGACACAGACCACTAATTATTTACTTAGGGAGTCAACTTGTATTGTCTATATGTATTAAACTATTAATGTCAACATCTCCCTTTTTTATATAAAATAAAATTTTAAACACAAATTAAACTTCACTCAATTAAAGTAACAAACTAAACATGCAATATCCAATTGTTTTAAATTCACAGAACAAAATATATTTAGTTATCATAGTCTCTCATCCATGATGGTTTCCTGCTTACTCTTCCACTAGCAGTTCTCAATAGATTTGGTTCATTTATATCAGGTTGAATTTCTTCTTGTTGTTCATTTGGTCCATTTGGTTGATTGTGCTCTAGTTCAAAATTTCCTGGAAAGTTATTGTCTCCATTTTGTCCACCATTTTGAATTGTGTTGTCAACTGGATCATGATTAAGATATTGTTCTGTGTAGAAAGGTTTTAAATGTTGTCTATTTCTCCTTATTACTGAACCATCATCACTTCGTACCATATAAGATCTTGGACTGTTGTGTTGATATAGAATTTTACCAGGAGTCCATTTCTTTCTATCAAAATTCCAAATGCTGATTGATTGACCTGGTTGAAGTGGTTTCAAGTCAATTGATGTTTTGTCAAATTGTTTCTTTTGACCTTCTATCTTCTTTTCTCTTTCCTTTTGAACACCTATCTGTCTTGTAGGTCTTAGATATGATTTGGATATTGGTAAATTAGTTCGTAATCGTCTTCCAAATAATAACTGTGATGGAGTTTTCGATCCAAGAACTGGGCTGTCTCTGTAGTTTAATATAGGTAAATAAGGATCTTGTTTATCAGCTTTAGCTTTGATGAGTAACTTTTTAACAATTCCAACATATTTTTCAGCTAACCCGTTACTTCTTGGATAATGAGGACTCGATGTTTTGTGATTTATTCCCCATTCAGTTGAAAATTTTCTAAATTTTTCATTTGAAAAATTTGTCCCATTGTCAGACACAAGGGTTTCTGGAATTCCATGTCTTGCGAAGATGGATTTCATTTTTAATATGGTTTCTTCAGCTGACAAATTTTTCAACTGAGCTATCTCAAAGTAATTTGAATAATAATCAACTAACAGTAAATAGTCTAAATTATTAAAATGAAAACAGTCTGCTCCAACTTTTAACCATGGAATATTTGGTCTTTCATGTGGTTGAAGTGTTTGATTTGTTTGTTGATTTTTATATGTTTGACATATTTCACATTTTGTTACGTAATTTTCAATGTCATTTGACATGCCGATCCAAAACATACAGGATCTTGCTCGAGTAACACATTTTTCAAAACCTAAATGTCCTTCGTGTAATCGTCTCAGCATGTCGCATTTCCACTCTTTAGGAATTAACAATCTATTATTTTTGTAAATTAAACCTTTAAAATTTGAAAGTTCATCGCGGAAGTTCCAATACGGTTTTACAGTGTCATTTAAATCATGACGATTATCTGGCCATCCATTTTGAATGATTCTACGTAATTCTAATTGTTCATTATCAGCTTCACACGATTTTTGAAAGTTATCTAACATTGTGTTACTAAATGGTAATAATGCATGTACCACATGCACATAATAATCTAATTCCTGATGAAACTTTAAATCTTCAGGTTTTGGGGGTTGTGGTGCTCTGCTTAATGTATCAGCTACTTTTAAGTCTTTTCCTGGTATCCATTCGTACTCAAAATTATACTTTTGTAAACGTATCATCAATCTTGCTATTCTCGGAGGTGCGGATGTCAATGATTTTGTAAATAAAAATTTTAATGGTTTATGATCATTAACAACTTTAAATTTATTCACACCATAAACATATTGATGAAATCGTTCTGTAGTAAATACAATTGATAACAGTTCTTTTTCAATC